GATACCATAGTTCCATTTTGGTTTGCTATTAAACTGTTATTTAACGAAAATAATTTTTTATATGTTGCACAACTTTTCTGTTTTTCATTACTTTTTCATAATTTCTACTTTCAATATTTAAACAGTAATTTTGAAAATCCTTTTTGGTAACTATCTCTAGATTTCCAACAGAAAACTTCGATACTGATTATTTAAGATTTACTAAAATGTTAATATTTATTTCTTACTACATTTGTTCTTAAAAAGTTACGAAAAAAAGGAAAAAAATAGTAATTTTCTAGGGTTATTTATAAATCATAGACAGAAAATAAATAATGAATATAATAAATATATTTAACCAGCTATATTAGCTAACATTTGTTTTAAAAGTGTACAATGTAATTTACAAGTAAACGCGTTCAAAACTAACAAATTCAGTTCATTTGGAATCATGTTTCCAAACTTTTAAGTTAAGTTGGATTAGGATTTCTTGTTATGATAAAAAAATCGATTTTCTAAAGTATTTTATTTATAAATTCCTATTTTTATTTTATTAGGTATTATCCAATGCTATTAGGTATTATCCAAATGCCCAAATTTTATCTTAGAAATTAATTACAAACGATTTTGTTGCTCAAAGATACTTTTCAATATTTTGTTTTATTTTCTCAAAAGATGCCCTTTACTGTTTCTAAAAGTTGAATATTTCCCGAATCGATATCGTTTGAATTGTTCACGCGAACACTAAATTTTTTATCGGATCAAACATGTAACTCCTTCTAGAGCGAAAAACCCACAAAAAAATTAAATAGCCATTTAGGAAAATGGATGCGTTGGCGACTTAATTGTGTACAAAACGATCTAAATCTAAAAGACCTCGCACTGTAAGGTACATGCTTTAGTACTTTATTCACCCCTAACTACCCCTCGTAAAGTAAAATGCAAGAATAGAAATAAACGTAAGGTTGTCATCAACCGCGTATTGAGTTTATTTGGGAAATAATGTGGGCATTCAAAATTAAAACCTAAACTGACTTTTCCTAATAGATACGATAAAAGCACGTGTGTGAGGTGCCATTTTTAGGTACTTAATTAGAAACAATCTAAATATTAATCCGTTCAAATTAAAAAGAAATGCGAAAAGGCACCACATATAATAAACAAAAAAAAAAGCCGATTGTAGTTTCTAATTGGTTACCACTACGTTCACCCCTTCTATAGATCCGTAGGCACCTACGATATTATCATACTTAATGACCACCCACTTTAATCCAATTCGCTCTATTATATCATGCCTTCTGGCAATCAATTCTGACAACATCTCGATAGATAAAAAACAAGTGAAGTAATTTGCAATCTGCTTACAATTAGTTAATGCCACCGTTTTAATGATTGGCCGGAGGGACGTTCTCCCCATAAAAAAAAACCGTCCATACTTCTGGGAAAATGTCAGATGTTGGAGACATTAATTGCGGAATTATGTAGACAAGTTGGGACATGATAAAATAAAGGTTGCGTTAAGCGGTAAAGAAAACAAGAACTTTAATTGTTGAGGAACATGTTTATTATGTCTACAACATTATTCACCCTGTATAAAGTAACATATGAAAATAATTAACTAGTGAAGGTTTCCATTGGTTTGACCTGAAATTTATGTACATCTCTTTGTGAATATTTTGATTGTCGTTAGAAGTTTAGTACTTTTTAGACTGTAAAATAGGATTAAAGAGTTTGATTTCCTTTATAGAGAGTTTACACTCTATTTGAAAAGTTAGTTAGGCATTTTAGGCACTAATTTACACAATTAAAGTCACATTTATGGCAATATACGTTTGGATATCAAACAATTTCCTTTTTATTTCTTTTATCAGTTTTGGGTACCGTTTATTGGCACCTTATATTCAAGCTGTTGTAAATATGTTCCCTGAATAAGATTTTTATCAATTTTATCGTCTTCGGCGATTGATGGATTGTCAATGGGGTTTAATGCATATTTCAGACAGGCAATTTCCGCGCAATCGATGAGATGTTTATTCTTCAATTTCCCGGGACTCCTTCTCACGGAAAAATATTGATCGTAGATAGCTCAGGTGGTCATTGGGTGACGTCACGCCGGTCGAATCGACCCTATCTCCGGGTTTTCTCGCAACTTTGCACCCTTTTCAGATCGAATAAGCGGTAGGGTGAACGTGTCATACCAAACTACCTGACATGCTTGTGTATGTTTAAACAATGAGTGATTCCCTCAGACGTTAATAAGAGCAATCGAGTGGGTTTATCGTCGGTGATGGCCCTCTGGGGTTCTCTAATAGGGCCCCAAGGGCCTCTTGATGGACTATAAAATGGTCAGAAGTGATTAGGTGAGTGGGAAAGTGATTTTACCGAACCCAATAAAGAAAATTGCTTAACAGATTTCGTGGGCAATTCTTAACTTCAATTTAGCTTCTAACTGTTTTTTTAAAGGATTCTATATATATTTAAATAAGTAATAGGTCATACAAACTGCAAAGTTTTGAGCAAAGTAGGCTTGATGTATTATAGTTGTCAAAGTCAAAAAAATGTTCAAACAAGTTAATTAATTAGTTATTATTTAATGTGAGAGTGTCTAAAAAGAATCTAAATTCTTTTTTAATAGCTCCAATAGTTCAAATTGGAATAGTACATGGGAGAATCAATAAACTTAAGGATAAATATTAGAAAATAAGCAAAATAGGTATGAATTTTTTTTCAGAACAAACTATAAGTGAGTTTAGATAATTATTTTTCACNACTTGTAAAATCATAAAATTTAAGTAAATAGAAATAAAGGCTTATAAATGTTATTTTTTTTGTTAGCACAAAGTGTATGTAAAGTACAAGGAATCAATTGTTTAAGAAGAGGTAAAATGGGAAATGCTTTGAGTTGGGCTTTGAAGTCTCAAGATGGATATTTTACTTCATATTTAGCAGATCGATTTTTACGTAAATATACCACAGAAGGTAAACTGTTATGTCCTGATCTTTTGGAAAATTTGGGATCAGCGATGTTGTCTTGTGACAGACTAACATTTCTAAGTAAGTCTCAACTATATAGTCTGTAGATTATCAATTTTGTTTTTTTTGTAGGCAAATATTTTGAATTTCATAAAGTTTATGCCTTAAAAGATTTCAAAGAAGCTGCGAATATTATTATATCTCTTATGTCTTCAAAACTTACCCCAAAGTAGTGAGTAAAAATTTTTTTTCTGTACGAAAATAATTATAAACTGTTCTTGAAATTACAGCTTTTGGATTACACTGTTGACAGACGCCTTACCTTTACTAGAATCAGACGAAATCGTCTTCTCATCTAACGATACATTTATGTTGCTTCACTGTTTAGAAGAAAAATCAAAATTGCCCGAATTACAAGATAAAATAAGTTTAATTCGAATTGCTGCTGCACGAAATTTGGCCAGAGCCCTAACAACCGAAGCCCAAGCAGCCTGAGAACGTTCGAAAATTAATAGTAAGTTTTTTTTACTGTGCTTTTTATAAGTGTGAATTAAAAATTTTTTTTTTTGAGAATTCTTTTTTATTTATGGGGGTTACAATGGGGATGGGATAACCTTACACATTTATTTTTTGCATGTGACTTATTTCTAACGATAAGTAAAAAAAACAGGAATATTAAAAAAATAACTTTATTTCTTCTGTAAATGAACTTACAAAACTAAAACAGATTCTCAGGTAACAGTTACTTCCTAACTAAATAGAAAAATTTAATAATAAAATAAATAGATTGCATCCTAATAAACAATTCAGTTTCTAAACTAATGAGATCCTTGATTACAACAAAAGTGGGACTCCAGCCACTGATTTGATATAAAAATCGAAAACAAAATGAATTTCTTTGTACATAGCTTCAAATTATGTCATTTGAGTAAAAAAAAGTAATTTACATTGAAAGAAAAAGTTCTACATCCTTTACTGCTTTTTGTATGCTATCAAATTCGTAAATTATGCGGTACCTCAATTTTTGAATAACATTATAAATGACGTGGATTGTAAAAATTTTGTTTCTGAACATAATTGGATACCAAAATGTTGCATCAGGCCACATTTCATCAAAAGGCACATCCGCAAAGTGAAACCAACGAGTTAGGTCCAGTTCTTCACTTATCTTTAGCTGTCCTGTAGTTTCACAAGCAGTAAATATGTGCACCACAGATACAACGTCGTTATTTGCAGATTCGTGAATAATAACTCCAACCTGCTTTAAATCGTTGGCTTCTAAATTAGTGTCTTGTTTAAATTTTCGACGTGCTGCATCAATAATACTTTCACCTGTTTGTACTTTTCCACCAAAACCATTCCATATACGCCTACCCCAATTCGTCCTCATACGCCCTAAGAGTACGAAGTTGTATCGTTTAATGAAAACCAGCGTGTAAGCTTGATTTTGTCTCATTTTCAGAAAATTAAAACTAAAATGCTGAATTTATCCTGACCTACTGTAAAGTTAGGTTAAAGCGTTCTATATTCTAAAACCAGAAAGAATATTAACTATTAAATGATAAATTATACAAATTTATTACCTTAAAATGGTTAATCGTTCCGATTTTATATGTCTTTCATTCAGCTTAAGCGTTTAAAAAGGACGTGAAGATAAGCTGATAACAGGGTTAAAGTAAGGTTAAATTATCTTCTTGTTCAATTTTTCATGTGGTCTTTGTACATGTCCTATTTATTTAGCCGTGTCATGTAAAAACGAAGTCAGTGGTCGAAATTCACTTCTGTGAACAATAGTATTGCGTAGTGTCGGCCATCATTCTTTTTTACATTGTTGCTGTTGTCGGCCATCATTTTTTCTAATTGTTGCTGTTGTCGGCCATCATTCTTTTTCAATTGTTGTCGCATTGTTACCGATGTCGGCCATCATTATTTTCTAATTGTTGCTGTTGTCGGCCATCATTCTTTTTCAATTGTTGTCGCATTGTCACTGATGTCGGCCATTATGGTTTTTAATAGATGTATAGAAATCAATGATTAAAATTTAAAAGAATTGTTTGCAAATGGGTATGCAACACATCGTACACTTTTACGTAATACTACTTTGCCCTGTGCTGACAGCACACAATTTTTTTTATATATAATATTTGTTCTTTTCCTACATATTTTTCAGTCTTATCATTTATAAACTAAATAAAGTTTAATACTTTATAAAAATCTATGTTAAAGCACAATAACGCACCAGTTTAAAATTGTTTTAAACACATTTCTACAACTTGTTTTAAAAAGTTTTGTATGGCACCAGGTATTTCTTGTAAAAGTAGTAAAACTTTTTGAGCATTAGTTTATCAGTTTTTTTGCATTTCAATGCATGAAATGGCAAAGGATGTGACCTTTTCTAGGTCATTCGTAGAAAACGAACGGAGTTTTGTTTGCGTTTATCAACAGTGTAACTATACAAACAGTTATTAATATGTATGTATTAAGCGAAATAACAGAGCGATTCTTTAACTGAAATAATTTCGTACGTTTCGGATTTTTGTGCTTCAGTTTCGTTTTACCGGTGACTTTGTTTATTAATTAACTAATTATGTGTTTAGTGCTAATTGTAACATGTGGTCTGTACCTATGGATAACATACAAGAATATAAGCATCTCAGTATTGAATTTGGTACGTTCTTAATGATTGATTTATTATTCTATAATATTTTTTTTTTTCGTTAGGTATTCATCAGGTACCTACATTAGGTACTTATCTATTGAAATTTAATTTTAATATTTTGTGTGATAATATTTAAAAGGGTGTTATTAACTGATATAAAAGGTTTTTATATCTGATTTTTATTACATTAACTTGAAGTAACCACGAAGTATTAGATACATAATAGCATAGAAGAAATGAAATATTCAAAAATGGCGAATGCGCCGGACATTATAAAACATCTTGCATTTGTTAACAATATTATGCCACAGCAACTGTTCTAATTTGAAATCTGAGGCGAATGAAAGATGCTTACCTAATGCTACTTTAATATAAAACAGATGTTTAAGTCAGTCTAAAGCTTTTCTTAGTAATAAGAAAAGATTATTCATAAAATTCATAACTTAAATTACGTTGATAGATACCAAGTTGTTTTTTTTTTGTTTTGCATTCATTCTGTTGTCATAACTAATAATTTTTGGATTTATGAAGTCTACTTTACTGCTTACGACAATTTATTTTGGTAAAATTCATATTAAATAGGCAGATAGGTACTTCCTCAATGATCTATTGAGTTTTTAAGAACAGTTCTTTGAATAATGTAATTTTATAAAAAAACAAACAGTTCAGTCAAGTATTTTATTGTAAAACTAAATAAAAAAAATACTTCCCTAAACTTCGAGAAATGCACAAACTGGTAAAAATGGCACCTGGACAGTAAAATAGGTAAACAGTAGACAGTTCTACCCAAAATACTAGATACATGACGTGTTATCTGTATTAGGTAAACCATTATTGTACAATGAGTAAATTAAATTGCCTCCCTGTTGTAATATCACGGTTCAGCGACTTTGTTATAGGGGTAGCCCCTTTGATCGCGTATTTTTTATCTTAACTACACCTGGTCAGGCACCTGGTTATAAAAGACAGGTAGCTAGTTGTTTTAGTAACGGACTCTAATAAATAATTGTACCTCCTACAGAGTACTCGTAATCAACGAACAAGTGGGACCATTATTTATCAAACACCTTGTATGTACCTATTTTGATCTAATAATGGTCCTCTTGCTGATTGATTTTAAAAATAGGTAGGAATAGAAAGAAAAGTTGATATTTTGCAGCTTCTGACAATTTAAATAGGGGCCATTTTTGGTAAATTATTATTGGAAACATTTTAAAGAGATTTTGATAGAAATTTACTACAAATATTCGATTTACATTGTAAATAAGCTAGTTTAGCAACAATTTGCAAAAAGGAATAATTTTGAACATTAATAAAACACTAAAATTTATAATAAAATCCAAAAGCTTCTAATGAAAAAAACTTGAGTAATGTTAGTTTTTTCCTTCACGATTAATTTCATTGTCCCTGCAGATGTTATCAATGTAATAACGGGGTTGTGTTCCAAAAAGAAAAGCAAAAAGAAAATGGTAACTGTGTGTCTCAGATTTATTCCTCGAAATTCCTGATAAAATTGAATAAATTCTGAAAATGAAATCATCAACAATTTCCAGAAAATTGACTTACACACACCAATCGATTTCGTTGTAGTGGGGATGTTTATTAAGAATGAACAATATCATGCAGGGGTGCACGGAAAATGGAATGTTCTTTTACATGTATCTACCACCAGTGTTGTTCTGTATCGTACCATCATTATTTTCCGCTGGGTTGCTCATGAACTTGCTATTGTATAATATCGCGATAAAGGTAACACTAGTGCCAGTGAATTTTTAAAAAAACGAAACAAAATACAATAAATAAATTAAAAAAAAGGTAAAATGACGTAACCGATTGGGAATGACCTGGAATAAAATGGGAAAATTTATCGCGTGTTAGGATTCATAAATACGAAAACGTGGTGGTGTTTTTTGTATGTGAATTTTTGGATTTTGCTTGATGCAGCAAGGGGTAAGTAATTACGTTTTAAGGTTTTTCTGTTAATTATCATTGTTTTGGTAAACTGCAGGAAAAGCAATTATTGAAGGTATTTTGCACATTTTCAAAAACATAAAAGAAGGAATAATTGTTTAATATGATGATTATTAAACTGTATTTAGATACCATAGTTCCATTTTGGTTTGCTATTAAACTGTTATTTAACGAAAATAATTTTTTATATGTTGCACAACTTTTCTGTTTTTCATTACTTTTTCATAATTTCTACTTTCAATATTTAAACAGTAATTTTGAAAATCCTTTTTGGTAACTATCTCTAGATTTCCAACAGAAAACTTCGATACTGATTATTTAAGATTTACTAAAATGTTAATATTTATTTCTTACTACATTTGTTCTTAAAAAGTTACGAAAAAAAGGAAAAAAATAGTAATTTTCTAGGGTTATTTATAAATCATAGACAGAAAATAAATAATGAATATAATAAATATATTTAACCAGCTATATTAGCTAACATTTGTTTTAAAAGTGTACAATGTAATTTACAAGTAAACGCGTTCAAAACTAACAAATTCAGTTCATTTGGAATCATGTTTCCAAACTTTTAAGTTAAGTTGGATTAGGATTTCTTGTTATGATAAAAAAATCGATTTTCTAAAGTATTTTATTTATAAATTCCTATTTTTATTTTATTAGGTATTATCCAATGCTATTAGGTATTATCCAAATGCCCAAATTTTATCTTAGAAATTAATTACAAACGATTTTGTTGCTCAAAGATACTTTTCAATATTTTGTTTTATTTTCTCAAAAGATGCCCTTTACTGTTTCTAAAAGTTGAATATTTCCCGAATCGATATCGTTTGAATTGTTCACGCGAACACTAAATTTTTTATCGGATCAAACATGTAACTCCTTCTAGAGCGAAAAACCCACAAAAAAATTAAATAGCCATTTAGGAAAATGGATGCGTTGGCGACTTAATTGTGTACAAAACGATCTAAATCTAAAAGACCTCGCACTGTAAGGTACATGCTTTAGTACTTTATTCACCCCTAACTACCCCTCGTAAAGTAAAATGCAAGAATAGAAATAAACGTAAGGTTGTCATCAACCGCGTATTGAGTTTATTTGGGAAATAATGTGGGCATTCAAAATTAAAACCTAAACTGACTTTTCCTAATAGATACGATAAAAGCACGTGTGTGAGGTGCCATTTTTAGGTACTTAATTAGAAACAATCTAAATATTAATCCGTTCAAATTAAAAAGAAATGCGAAAAGGCACCACATATAATAAACAAAAAAAAAAGCCGATTGTAGTTTCTAATTGGTTACCACTACGTTCACCCCTTCTATAGATCCGTAGGCACCTACGATATTATCATACTTAATGACCACCCACTTTAATCCAATTCGCTCTATTATATCATGCCTTCTGGCAATCAATTCTGACAACATCTCGATAGATAAAAAACAAGTGAAGTAATTTGCAATCTGCTTACAATTAGTTAATGCCACCGTTTTAATGATTGGCCGGAGGGACGTTCTCCCCATAAAAAAAAACCGTCCATACTTCTGGGAAAATGTCAGATGTTGGAGACATTAATTGCGGAATTATGTAGACAAGTTGGGACATGATAAAATAAAGGTTGCGTTAAGCGGTAAAGAAAACAAGAACTTTAATTGTTGAGGAACATGTTTATTATGTCTACAACATTATTCACCCTGTATAAAGTAACATATGAAAATAATTAACTAGTGAAGGTTTCCATTGGTTTGACCTGAAATTTATGTACATCTCTTTGTGAATATTTTGATTGTCGTTAGAAGTTTAGTACTTTTTAGACTGTAAAATAGGATTAAAGAGTTTGATTTCCTTTATAGAGAGTTTACACTCTATTTGAAAAGTTAGTTAGGCATTTTAGGCACTAATTTACACAATTAAAGTCACATTTATGGCAATATACGTTTGGATATCAAACAATTTCCTTTTTATTTCTTTTATCAGTTTTGGGTACCGTTTATTGGCACCTTATATTCAAGCTGTTGTAAATATGTTCCCTGAATAAGATTTTTATCAATTTTATCGTCTTCGGCGATTGATGGATTGTCAATGGGGTTTAATGCATATTTCAGACAGGCAATTTCCGCGCAATCGATGAGATGTTTATTCTTCAATTTCCCGGGACTCCTTCTCACGGAAAAATATTGATCGTAGATAGCTCAGGTGGTCATTGGGTGACGTCACGCCGGTCGAATCGACCCTATCTCCGGGTTTTCTCGCAACTTTGCACCCTTTTCAGATCGAATAAGCGGTAGGGTGAACGTGTCATACCAAACTACCTGACATGCTTGTGTATGTTTAAACAATGAGTGATTCCCTCAGACGTTAATAAGAGCAATCGAGTGGGTTTATCGTCGGTGATGGCCCTCTGGGGTTCTCTAATAGGGCCCCAAGGGCCTCTTGATGGACTATAAAATGGTCAGAAGTGATTAGGTGAGTGGGAAAGTGATTTTACCGAACCCAATAAAGAAAATTGCTTAACAGATTTCGTGGGCAATTCTTAACTTCAATTTAGCTTCTAACTGTTTTTTTAAAGGATTCTATATATATTTAAATAAGTAATAGGTCATACAAACTGCAAAGTTTTGAGCAAAGTAGGCTTGATGTATTATAGTTGTCAAAGTCAAAAAAATGTTCAAACAAGTTAATTAATTAGTTATTATTTAATGTGAGAGTGTCTAAAAAGAATCTAAATTCTTTTTTAATAGCTCCAATAGTTCAAATTGGAATAGTACATGGGAGAATCAATAAACTTAAGGATAAATATTAGAAAATAAGCAAAATAGGTATGAATTTTTTTTCAGAACAAACTATAAGTGAGTTTAGATAATTATTTTTCACGAAATCATAATATACTTTGGCGCATTTTTATTTTAATTTCTTTGAATTCAACAATTTAAATAGTGTATAATCATATTTATAGCTAGATCGGTTAACTTCTCAAAAAATAGTGAATGAAATGGAAACATGGTAGTGTAATCCTTTTTGAAACTTTAATTGATTATATATTATATATTAAAGCACTTTATGATTATTAGCAAACTATGAAAATAAAAAAATTGTTTTTCGCTGCAGCTATTACTTATTATTTGTAATATTTTTCTTGTACAAAATGTATTGGTTTCTAATTCCAGGTGTAAGATAATAGGTGTACAAAATGTGTATAAAAATGCATATCTAAATATGTGAATTTTGACAAACACTTTACCTGCTTGTACCCATGAATCCGTCCAAACAGTATAATGTTAATTAGTTGCTCATTACTGGCTCAAGTTGTCGAATCATGAAATTCTACGACAAAAATTATATAGTAGACCAGAATAGTGCAGAGAATTTATTTACTTCGAATAATTGCTCATACATATTCAACGAGAAGATGGAAGTTTCAAGCTGTGACAAAAGTTTAGTTGAAAAGAATATCCAAAACGATCAAATTTTGGAAGATGGCGATTCAAAAGCAAATCTGCTATGTAACCAAATTCAGTCGGACGGTTTTTCCGCATATCAATCTGAAAACGAAGCGCTCAATCCATCAAATGTTGCTCTAGAACTGGGCCATGACATTGGGATTCAATTACCAGACACTAACAACATCTTAGAACCCCAAGATATTATAATTTCCGCTGGCTGTGAAAACGAAATTTCATTGGCAGAGGAGGTTGTCGTTCAAACAACGAACGATATCAACTCGTCCGATGTTATCAGCATTTCTGATAATCAAATTCTCAAAATCGAGTACAAAGGCCCGAATGGGTTTGTAAACACCCAGTATATCATTCACAACGTAAACGGGAATTTTGTAGATACCAATGGGGTTCAAATAGATAACAATATTTTTCAAATAAACGGGGATCCCGCTTCAACTCCTCAATTCATGGTCGTTCCCGCTTCTGCTGAACAGTCTGCCAATTCGAACGACGTTTTCGATATCACTTCCAATTCGTTAGAAAACAGTCACATTTTTGGCGTTTGCCAAAACGAAATCGTGACATCTGGGGACATTTTCGACGTGTCCCATGAAGAACTTATCACTTTTGATGCCACCAACAAAAAAGACGTACCTCCTGTTGAACCCCAAAACGCTATTACAAGTTCTAAAGAGACTACTGAAGAGACGTATCCAACCGAGAAAACAGACAACTCCTTCAAGTCGTCCATGCTAAGTCCTGTCAGTGAGGATGATACTAATTCAGAAACGGATTTGACGAGTTTGAATTGGTTACACAATATCACGAATATAATGGCAGTTCCTAATCTACCAACCCCTCCAATTTCTCCAAAACCGAAGAAAAAGAGTCAGCCGAGTTCTCAGGAGGACTTGTCGATCAATATTAACTTTTATAAAAAGAACGGGGACAAAAAACCGCCGTTTTCCTATGCCACCCTCATCTGCATGGCCATGGGCAAAAACGGTAACAAAATGACCCTCTCTGCTATTTATCACTGGATACGGGAGAACTTTTTGTATTACAAAAAAGCAGATCCAAACTGGCAAGTAAGTTGCTGCTTTAAATAATTGATAATGTGTGTTTGGACATTATTATTTACATTACAGAATTCTATAAGGCACAATTTGTCTTTGAACAAATGTTTCATAAAGGTGGCGAGGTCAAAGGACGAGCCGGGCAAAGGAGGATTTTGGAAGTTGGATTTGGAAAGATTGGAAGAGTCGAGAAGATCCAAACGACGATCCAATCTAACCGTGAGGGCGCCGAGGTCAAACAGACAGCAAGAACAGGTGGTCAAACCCGCCAGAAAGACTAAAAGATATCGAAGTTCCCAAAGGACCGGGGAAAGGAAACACAACATCCTTTCGAACATTTCAATTTACGGTGAAACGGAAATCGAAAATATCAATTGTTCAAAACCGAACAGAACGAAAAAGGAAAGCAATAAGTGTTTGGATAAGTTGATAAAATTTTGTGATATGGAAGACAACACTACCACCACCACGACGACCAGCACTTGCAACGGGGACGATGACGATGCAAATAATAAGACTCCCCTAACGACTCCCACCTCAATGCCCAATCAAAATGTAATTATCGAACATAATCATATTTTACCTGAAGACGACTTAACAGGCCTTTTGCTAGCGTCGAATGGCTGGGACGATTGCCAATTGGAAATGCTGGATTCTCTGTTGGATTCCCTTTAATTAATTGGGCTTAAAGATGTATTGATGTGTGTAACTCTTCGTCAAAATAATGACGAAGGAAGGTAATAAATTATTACTGGGTAAAAGAGTGCAAACGTGAAAGCTAAAGATTTTTGGCCTGAAATTTTTTTAACTGTGGGGATGTAAGGAAATTGGGGTTTGCAATAATTGTGAAAAATTTTTTACTGTACCTTTTTATTGAATGCGTACATGCGAATGAGCTTTTTGTCGTAAAAGCAATAATGATGTTAAAAAAATATATTTTCTCTTTTTTCTGACGGTGAGTGGTAAAATATTAAAATTATTGTTGGAGATCTTTATTTGTAAATATACAAGGTGCAACGTTATGTGAAATTGACTTTTGTAAAGCTTATTTTTAATAGTTAATTTTATGACTTAAACTCAAAAACCTTCAATGAACTTTATGACTTTTCGAAGAATTTAGAAGAAGTCGTTAATGGTTGGTATAAAGTTTCCAATTCTTTTAGGGACTTCAAACGATCAAAAAGTTATCATTACCTAGTGATATTTCAAAAGGTTTAATTATAAATTTATTGGGAGTGGATCTCAAGTTAATGACCTTTTGAAAAATTTCAATGAAACGTAAATGTATCTTAAGAAAAAGTTAAATAACATACCAAAAAGTTTGCACCATCTTTAAATGATCACAATTTTTTATTTTTGGTGCTCCTAATGTTCGTAAATAAACTTGGCAGTATTTTGAAAGGTTTTAATTAGTTCCAAATTTTTTTTAAGTTAACGCCCGCTTCATAAATTAATTTTCAAAAAAGGACAACTTTATTTTTAAGGGAAGTTAAATAGCATAACTACAAGTTCACATCATTTTGGAAGACATAAAAGATCATAAAAGTTTATTATTGATTAGTTCATTTGATGCTCATAAGTAAATCATGGCATTTGGAAGATTTTGAATCTCGGGTTTGTGAATAAATTTGTGGCCTTTTGGAAAACCTAAACAAGCCATAAATTTCTTTTTAAAAGAAACCAAACATCTTCTGGCTTGATTTTAAGTGTTAGTAAGCCTGAGCTTCACATATAAATTCGTGATTTTTTGGAGGATTGTTTAGAAATATATTAAAACGTTTTGAAAGACTTTAGTGATCATAAATTTATTTGTAGTGGGTCTATGAATCGTTTCAGAATGTAGCCAAAAGATTTACAAGTGAGTTTACAAAAGTTTAGAAGCCATAAAGTGGTCATACTTATTGGACCATGTAAACTATTAACAGTGTAAAGTATTTTTGAAAGTCAATTTCGTTTTTATTATTGCATTTAGTATGTTTACAATTTTTTGTCTTTTGAACATAAAAACACTGTAAAATAAGTCACTGAGAGTGGTTTTTGTGCCTTTTTCCGTGTCCAGCACTAGGTGCACTTTCTACTGTTAATTACTTTCTATTTCGAACAACAATAATAAAAGTTGCGTCAATTTATTAGTTGATGATAAGTAACAATTTTTGTAGCAATATTTATGATAAATGTGAAACAGATGCTCTTAAATCTTCCGTCCAAAATATAGATTTGTATAAGAATTATTATAATATACATGCAAAAATACAGTTTTTCGTGTATGTACCTAAACAAATTATAGAGTTTAATAGTTATAATAATAATAAATAGTTTCTCAAGTAGTGTACGAGTATGTAATCTTACGATTAGTTTATAAGTTTTATAGAATTTGTATTAATAAATAATTAATTATTATTACATTCATATTGTGATTTAGAAAAGGAAGAAAATGCCTTCAAAATATTTCCGTCCATTGTAATTGCTTTAAGTGGACTCAAAAGTATTTTAAATAAAGGGTATCCAAATATAAAATGTACAAATTAACTTTCAATAAATTTAACTTTATTGGATTTGTATAATTAGTGAAACTGATGGTTAACATCAATTTGTGTGTAAAATCTTTTTATTAGAAGTGCGCCTTTTCTATCTACTAACATTGTTTAATTCAGTTTTGTAAAATGTTCCCACAACATTTCTGATGATTATTTATTATGTGTGTAATTGTTTTGTATTTCCAATTAATTTCTTGTTCTTTTCTAAAGCTAATAAGTATCCTAAATTAGACTTAAACTATTTAAGTCAAACAAATTACATTATAATATGTCTCTATCTTTCAGGAATACGAAATTTATGGGTTGTTATAGCTTTAGATGTCCAGTACCTTTTGTGAGACCTTTGAAAGTACTGTTTTATTGTAAAATCTCTTTAAAATTTGTCATCGTTGAATGGAAACTTCAAAGTATCATCAATATAATACAAAAATAATGTCTAGTCATTTGCTATACACGTTTTGCTCAAAGGTGTACTTATTATAGCAATATTTATAGGACTTTGTCAAATTTTTAAAATAAAACGACTTCAAAGTAGAACGGACTGTTTTCTTTCTGAAAATTTCAGCTTCTGCTCAATTTTTAAAACATAATTGATTTAAAATCCCATTTAATTCAAAATTATTATATTTAAGTACAATCCATCTATAAATTAATATAAGTCAATGGTAAAAACAGGCGAAATTCTACTTTAATACGAGTTCAATGAAAAATCATAGAGCTATGATAATAGGTTTGTAAGTTATCTATGAGGTTAACTGTCGCTTGTTAGCGTCAAAGTGTTAAGCTATGGTGTTAAGCGTTCCTTTTAATCAGCTTTAATTGAATGTTTACAAATGTAAGGACATTAATTAAACAATTTCCTTAAACCGTTATTATTACACTATCATTATGGTGGGTAGACCTCAGCCAAAAGGTAGTAATAAGTCAAAAGAAGCTGCAGATTCAATTGCAAGTGCAGGTGTGATACATGTTTTTACAGTGTTGTTGTAAGTATTTTACCTATTTAATTCCATTTTTCAGAACACAATTACTTAAAGAATAAGAATATGGAATTGGCTAAAGCTTTGGCACAATCGAAAAGTGATTTTACGCAAGTATTGGCAGAGCGAGACTATTTACAAAGGGAATTGCTGGGTGCAAATCTTCATATAAAAGTGTGACACTTGTGATTTTGTAAAGGAGTATTGTATATAATTGAATTTAATTTTAGAAACTTGAAAAATATATTGATATTATTGAGGATTCGACAAAGAATACATTCAACAAAATTGTTGGCTGTTCTAGTGACATTACAAAAGCTCTTCAGACAATTCATCTTGCAAAGAAAATTACAAAGAAATTAGAAAGTAATTTAAGTAAAATTATTTGATTCCTTCTGGTGAAATGTATATTAAAAAAGGACTTATTTTTACAGAAGATGTCAGTGATGCAAGTATCTTGCAAATGTCTATGGACCACAAAGTTGGCAAGGAAAGCTCTCCATCAATACATAATAACTCACCAAATTTGCAAACTCATCACAGCAAAACCCATGCTGTAAAGCCCATGGTGAGTGGACATGTAATCTTTAGACCCATCATCAGTTTAAGACGTGTGAATGAAGAAGAAATCGAGCGTTCAATGAACATAGGAGCTCAGCAACCTATACAACATGCCAGTACAAGTCTGGTCACTGAGGAGGCAGTAACAGAAGAAATAGAAGTATGTTGATGAAGCATATATAATGTAATTTTAATTGTTTTATGTTCATTGGTTTCCATTAGCAGCAGCAAAATACATCTTTTCGTTGTCGAAGTACAAGTTGTGCAAGTTCCCATCTATCCAGTGGAGAATTATCAGGTAAGTTCAATTGTTTTTGGTTGATTGCCATTTAAATACTTTGTTTATTTTTTCTGCTTCAGATGAAAATATTTCTGATGCAGGAGATGAAGAAGTACCAACCCATACAAATGAAACAGAAGGAGAAAGGGAAATTGATAATAAGTTAGTAGAAAAGTATGGCTCTTTATTTTGTGTCTTAATAATTAATTTTACAGTAGGCTAGAAACATTACAAGAAGAGGATGAAAGTGAGCCATTAACTAATTCAGAACATCAAAGTGAACGAAATTCTAAAGATATGATGATTGGATTGTTTACTGGGGTATAAAAAGCTTTTTATCCTTTAATGGTACAGTGTCATGTTAAGTTAATGTTTTAGGTAAAACTGTTTACTTACAATTCTGCTCAGAACGTTTCTCCGTGTAAGAAAAGATCAAATTTATCTTGTAATGGAGGCAACTCTTCCACTGAAGATAGTGAAGCAGGTACAGTACCGTTGGTAACAACAAATCGTGGCACTGGAGAACGGTAAATATATATTTGAAAATTGTTTGCAAAATATGAAAAATATATTTTTGTTACAATTAATGTTCAACGTTATTATTAAGATTCTTTAATTTTTTGCTTTTTTTCAGTGTTAATTATGCTAATTTTGGTTCATCGCCTAATTTAAGTTCTTATTCTGTTGAAAATGAAACCACTTTGTTATCAAGAATTAAATGTGATAGTTCTAGAACTGTCACAGAAAGTCTCTCTGAACCTTCTACTAGTGGGTTGCGGCTTCGTAGGTCTATACCTCAAAAAAACGACATGGCTCAGGTATTTTTTAGTTGCTTAACATATATTTGCTTAATAAAATTACCCCTTTTTTTATTTATTTACAATTAGGCCGAAAGTAAAAGAAATATTTCTACCATAATAAGTGGAACTAAGTCTTTTAAAACATTTGTTGCAAATGGTACTACGATGAATTCCCCTAATGTTTTGTTAGAAAATTTGGACGACAGTGAAATATTAAAAATACAGCAGTTGTCGGTGTAAGTATTTTATTTTAGTACATAAATTACCATATTCGTTTTATTAAAATGCATTCTTTTTGTTGTAGTTTAGGTCTTGAACCAAAATTTTTAAAAGATAATACGTAAGTTTTTTATACATCTCTAAAAAACGTCAGAAATGTTTACATTTTGTGTTATTTTCATTTGTATTAGATCAACACCTTTTACTCCAGTTGTTAGAATAAAGAGACGAATTGAAGAAGTTTCTTCATCATCTGATGTATCCCTGAATAAAACCCCAGGAACACCTCCTAGCACATCAACAGCCTTGATGGAAACCACGCCTCAAAGAAAGATATCCCATCAAAATATAAAATCCAGGTAATTTTTTTAGTTTTTCTTTTATCAGTTTAATTTTATAAAATTCAGTGAATTAAATTTTTATTTTAGTTTTCAAATTGTTTTTTTTTACTTTTTAGTAAGAATAAAAAACAAGTGATAATAGCAAATCCCAGAGTAATCTTAAAACGAATGAAGATGCCAAAAAGGAATTCAAGGAGTCCTTTAAAAACCCAAGGATCTAAAATTTCAAAGAGAACGTCTAGCCAGTCCAGTATAGAGTCAAATGATAGTGTTCCTAGTGAAAACAGAACACGTTTGACCAAGAGGTCAATTGACAGCACCCGCAGTGAAAAACGGTCAAGAGGGTCGAGGGAGCAAACACCCAAAAAGAGGCAAGCTTTTTTCTAATACCAATTTCTTTTGAATAAAAAAAACTTGTTACACATTAATTAAAAGGAAGAGACAATTATTGTCAGACTTATTCTTATTTATGCTTTTATTATAGAAAATCAAGTGCAAAACGACCAAAGAAAGGCGAAATTGAACTATTGAGTCCCCAAAGGTGAGCAATTTTAATTTATTTCTATTGATTTGACATTTTTTACGTCTACTGTTCACTTGGTATGCTAGTTATTTATTTAACAATTATTGTGTATTGTCTTAGATTGACTGATTCTCCAATAAGACCACGTAGGAGACTGCCAATAAAATCGTTCAAAGAGCCAAGTTTAGTGAGGTAAAGACAACATTTTTGTTTTCGATTCATTAAGACTAATTTTTCTTTTCAATTTAGGAAAATGAGAAGATCGAAGTAACACAACTCTATCTGCAAAAAAGATAATATACATTTGCAAATAATCATCTGCTATTTTGTAAGGTTTGTGTACATATTTGGAAATGCAAATCCAAAAATGCAGTCTGATAATTAATGCCTGTCTTATATTTGCTTTCCGTAACAAAATAATATAGGTAATTTTTTGCAAATGTAATGGTTTTATCAATTTTTGATCCTGATAGGGAAATCAGGTTCATCTCGAAGTTTATAAGAAATATTTATAACTGTATAGGAGCAGACTCCAAAGCTGATGTAAGTACATTATCATTAAATTGTAATTCAGAATTATCATTTTTTTTTTAATTTAATCATGTCTAATTTTATTTAATATCATTTTTGATTGGTGACATTAATTTACGTTTACATAAATATTTTATTGTAAAATAAAAATAAATTATGTTTTATATTATTTGTTTAATTAATTACGTATGTGTGACTTTCAAGTAAAAGAAAATCTACATTAATTTTAGTTTTTATTTTTAGATTTAATAACAACCCAAATTATTAACAAACTCACCCCTTTAATAGTTTTTCTAAAAAATGATATAAGTACATAGGTACCAATCATTTTCTTAACTTGACTTACCAAATTAACATGATTAACAAACAATAAATAACAATAACTGAATATAATTAACACAAAAATAAATTAATTTAGATTATCTTTCGACTTGGATTCTTTAATCCACGATGATACCATTTCTCCCATGTCCCTGGAATGTTTGAGTACGAAGGCATGTTCAAATCCCCTGCTGCAAATTTCTGCGTCAATGTCAGGAAAGTCGCGTTTGACGTTATCCCTAAAAGTCAGAGGGACCCATCCATCTGTTGTACTGTAATATAGCTTTATTTTCGACTTAAACTTCGAGAACACATTGTTATTCCTCTCTTTGATACCATCCATTTCCTGCCTTGCAAGATGAAACACCTGCTTTAGTATGTGGGGATGAACGAAGTCCACAAATGTCTTTTGATGCATTTTTGGGATTCCCCGAAAGTGCATGAAGAAATTGACTAAAGGAGACTGGAAAGAGGACGGCAAAATTTGGAAAACCCAAGCTAAGACGACGAGAACAGGGATGAAAGGGAACACATATTTTATGAACCTTCCATTAGGTGTGTCTCCTATGTATTCCACTGTGGGAAATAAGAAATAGTTCCCTAGTACTTTTTGACTTACTGTGGGAATTTTGAGAAGCTCAGTGATTATATATGCCCCTACAGAGTGGCCTATGAAGTAAACTCTTGCATTTTCAGGAACATATTTCTTCACAAACTCTTCCTGCAGGATGCAAGATAGTTGTAAGTACATTTTATTTTATTAATAAGTTCTATTTGAGTCACAGAGGTAATAGCTATGGCTAAGCATATATAACTGCCCTTAATGCTATGTATCATAAAAAAAAAGTAAAAAATAAGGGCAGATTATCCATGCTTATTTGATTATGGTTTTTAAGTAAGTAGGTACATAAATATAATTGGCAATTATTTTCTCTATTGTTTCAAAAATAATAAAATAGACAAATCAGTTGTGATTATCTTATCTTAAAAGATAATTGTTCTGTTATCAGCAATTGAACGATAAATTCCATTAAATTGAAAAATTTAGAGGGCTCTATATACATTACTAACTATACTATTGAGCCTATGATAGATTTTCTAACACATAAGCAATATTACATTATCAAATGAGTCTGCAGGCCAGAATTTTTAAAATATTTGAAACTTTTTTCACATACCTTATGCTCAATTTGATCATCTAGTCCATATAGTTTATCGTTGTTGTATTCATCACTGTCTGAATTTGTGTTCTTAACGACCTCATGACCTGCGTGACTTAAAATCCACACTGGACAATTTAATTCTTCATGAATTCTCTGAAGAAATACAGTATAAAATTTTGTAATCCCTGGATTTCCTGGAATGCAAATGATAATGTCTTCAGGCTCATTCGTTTCAGGGGGTTCTTCAATCCATCTGCCCCATGCCATCACTTTTGTAAGTGCCCCATTTACGTCTATAAACGCTTGACGCATTTTTTAATGTTTTATTTCATTTACGATTAATATAACACAGACGATAAGTCAAGAGCTACACTTTAACATGTTTCAAATACCCATCAATTAAAATTGAATTGTGATAGCAATTTGTTGCGGTCTTTCTCATAGATAAGGTCTTTCTACAACAATACACAAGCACACAGGACAAAGTTTTACAAACATTGAAGAGGCATACCCTGTTCATCTTAATGTAACTACTTATTGCTGTATTTTTTTCAGGCATGCATCACCAAAACTTACTGTACAGCCCTTGTATTTCGAGTCGACAGTTATTGATGAGCTTTCTAGTAGCGCGCCCTCTCAAGGTAAGTAGCAGAAGTCTAAATTAAATTTTTATCGTTTTCAACACATTGGTAGATTTGAAAAACTTATTGTGACAAAATTCTAATAGAGGGCGCAATAATTATTTAATTAGCAATAATTTCAAAAATTGTAAATTTCAAGTTATTACTGCTAGAAATACCTTGATTACAATATGATAATCAAATTTTACTAAATAGCTGTTGATATGTGAAAAAGACACGAATTATTAAAGAAAAACATATTTATTATTTTACTTTAAAAGAATNTTTTATTTTTTAATTTTTAATCCTTTATTCTTTATTATAAGCTGATTTAAAATAAGTTAATAAGAAAGTTTCTTTGTCTATTTAATTATCTGTTTATAAAAATAGCATTACATTTTACTTATTTTGTGTAAATTTGAAGGAATAGGGTAAAAACTTCCATTTTAAAAAATGCCCTTTTCTTTAGCTATTTCAGTAACAGTTTACGACTGAGATTTTCAAAAATTGTTAAAGCTTCCCATAAAGCTTTACATTTTACTTATTTTCTCTAAAGCTGAAGGAAACTGGTTGATAATTGCATCTGAAAAACTTTTCTTTCATTATAAAATTGTGTAAAATTGAAAATTTAACAACTTACAGCGGATATTTTCAGAAATTGTCAACAGATCTTAGAAAGAATTCCATTTTACATCTTTCCTGTTAATTTGACAAGAATTAGCTACGTACTTTGCCTGCAAAGAACATAGTTTATTGCAACTTCATAAAACCAAAAATTGAGTGGCTCACAATTGTAGTTTTTAAAATTTGTTGTACTATGACATGAATAAAGCATTCATTTCACATATTTCTTATAATTATAAAACAGTTTTGTTAATAATTACAACTAACTCATTGGTATTTCACTTACTTGCTAAATTTACTGCAGGTAGTACGTATTTGATCAACATTTATATCTGCAGGTCTTCTTAATACTTAAACCTTTATTAAACTATTTAAAGTCACTTAAGGGCACTATTGTACTTGAGTTAAGAGAGAGAATGATCTGAAAGATGGTCTAAAATGATGATCGTTTGGGAGATATTGTTGAATCTCCTGCAACATTAACAATACATCAAAACTTTTTAAAAGCACTTAGAACCAATACATTACTGACATTATTTTGCATTTACATTTCATATCAATAAATACACCAATGTTTAGAAGCACCACGCTGTAACAGAAGGTTTAGTACCGTTAGATTAAGATATGTACCATGGACTGCAGAATTCATTTTACATCCTGTCATAAAGCTATTATTTGTATCTTGTTCTCTGTACATGTCCCTCTGAGACTCTAATAGCTGCTTTTTACCATCTTCATTGTGATAAAACAGACTGGTTACGCCATGCAAATGACAGTCTTCAGGTATGGCTTCTTACATAGTATTATTTTAAATCACCTAGAACACCTATGTCTAGTAAACTACGACTGATGATCTTGATTTATTGTATTTATGTAAGAAAATAGACTTACTTTGACGGTAAACATTCGATGAAATTCGTGCACATTTTGTTGTGGGGTTGATGGCTCCTAACTAAAAAAAGTAAATACTTTTAACTTTACAAAAACATTGCAAATATCACTAAAATAGGGGTGCTTCATTAATTACCTTTTAAAATATTGACAACTTACAATTAATAAGAAAAAACAATTAATTTTGACGGTCAACGTCAAACCAAAACAAAACCTCAAATCTAGAAATCAGCTGTTAAGTCGGCTTCGATAATTCCTCAAACTTAAAACAAATTAAATTTAATTAATTTACTTTAAATTTTGTTATAAAAGGGTAGTAATAAATTATGTTCATTGAGTTTTGTCAACAGTATTTGAGTTAAACTATTATTTATAATTTTTTTTCTGTCCTGATCAGTTGAAAAATTGAAAAACATGTTTCCGATCATCAAATGGAACGCACCTTTAAAATTTTCATTTTCGAGCCAAAAAATAATAATAACACTAAGTATCAGGAGCACAGGAATCTTACCCTACGCAACTTATGCTATCCTAATACAAAATCTGAAATTTTCGAAGTTCACGCTAGTTTTTAATTTCTGGCGCGCCTCCACCATTTTTGAACGATTAATTTTTATTTTACGAATGGTGCCTGGCGCCTTCACCATTTTTAAAAATATTTAATAATATAATTTATAACATAATCAATTACTTTTTCACCAATAACCCGGCGCCTTCACCATTTTTTAAAATAATTGGTAATAATAATTTGTAACTTAAAATTTTTTTTGCTAATGACCCGGCGCCTTCACCGTTTTTTTAACAAAGTTTTAATCAATAAATTTGTAGATTGAAATATTATTTTTAATATTAAATGTAAATTATAACTCATTGATGTATTTTATTAAAACCAAAAGTCAAGGTCATATATTTATGTACTTACCATTATTTCACTTGGATAATGTAAACTTTTCACAGTCACTCACTTAATAGTTTTGGTATATATACTCTCAATAAATATATATATTTGTATTATTTTTTCCTTAAAAATTAAAAGTTTTTCATTTGAATTCTTATTTTAATAGCAGTAAAAATGACATTGATCAGTGAATAATTGAGTTATAATTAAAATTGTCGAATATGTACTATCAAGTTGTTTATTGTTATTTTTGTTATTAAGGTAGATTATTGTAAATTAATCAAAGTATTCAAAATAGAAGTTCTGCTACTTTTAGTACAATCTTTTTTACTGTATTTTGGATATTCGTTTTTAATAAATTATTTTTCCAAAGTTAACGACAATTATACAAATTTGTAGTTTATTACTAGGCACTTGTTGGATAAATATAATGTTAATAAACATTAAATAAAACATAAAAATTAAAAACAAATTGTTTTATTTGTATCACATAGGCATTGAATGACATTTTTATTGATAAATTTACAAAGATATATTTGAAACGTAAGTAATTACAAAAACTATTTGTGAATTTATAATTTTTTCTTCGCATTTAGAACATTTTCGCTTTACATTTCGGAAAAATACAAACTTGGAGCTCAAACTGTTATAAAATAATTCTCCAAAGCAACATTTCTATTTTTTTTTTGTTTGTTTTAGTATATACAGGGTGAGTTCTTATATACACATACAGAGTGTCACAGTATAAACTGCGTAAAGTAAGTTTAGAACAACAAAATAGATTAAATTAACGATAATAATTACCTATCCAATAAAGTTTAATTCATTTGTTCGACAATTGATATTTGAAACATTTAAAAAATGACCATGTCTTTATAGTTAAGTGAAAACAAACGTCTGTGAAAGAAAAGTTATAAAACATTAAAGGCTGTTTAGTGATTAGGTACTCTATGTTTTTGAAATAATTGACTTTCATTAAAAATAAATAGAGGTAATTCTGAGAAATACAATTTTAAAGTAAACAATGAATTAACTAGATATCTGAAGTAGAATTAATTAAGTCGAAATAAATAAATAAAACTTTATTACCCTGATTATTATTGCATTAATATAAATTGAAAGACAATAAAGACAGAAATGAAATTTAAAGGACAATGTTAAAAGATGGCACATTTACTTATGTAGGTACCTACCTATACAAATAAAACTGAAAAAAAAATATTACTTACTTGCTGTTTGGGAGAATGTAATCTATTAACTCTTGAGCTTGTCTTCGTAAACGAAATTCCTATGTCGGATACTAACTATAGTATCTACAGTATATAACAATAAAAAATTTCGTTAGTCCACACCACGGAAGAGGGGATCTTCATTGGAAGATGGTCTTCCTTCTTCTTCCAGTCCCATTGTCAAAAAGTACATTAAAATCTTTTATTGTGCATTTGTTTTTTCAGTCCTTGTGGAGCGTTTTCATAAGAGTTCGAAAAAGTGGGGGGTTCTTCTTTACATTTTATTTATACAACACTATAACATCTAAAACCACTACTAGTCGTCATCATCGTCATCGTCACTACAGCAGTATCTGCAGCATTTCCGGTAAATGCAGACACACAAAAAACATAACACCAAAACGGTCCCAACCCCCGCCAGGGCTATGTAAAGCCAGTTGATGTCATTGTGAGTCTCTTGAACACATAACTCATCTGATTCGTCACTGAGAAAGGAACTCCCTGAAACAAAACATATATTTGATCAGTTGAACAATTATAATGGGACAATTTTTATTACCTTCAATGTTCGATACGTTAGGGCAGTTAACAACCCCGTTGCAAACCAATCTTGCAGGTATGCAGAGTCCTGCGTCTCCAGGACACGTAAATTCACAGCCTTCGATGATTTCTGCAGCAGATCCTGCCTCAGTTAACCGAGACGTTTTCAAGGATCCATCAGTGTTCCTTGGGAGATGAAAGAGTTCGGTCCAGGCGATTTTGAAGGCAGCACGCGTTGGAGAAGTCCTTCCAACAAACTGGACAGTAATGGCTGGTTCAGCACCATCTGGGCTCAGTTGGGCTGCAGAAAGAATCGGCAATTCCTTCGCTAGAGATACGTTCTCGCCACAAACGGATAGAAATGATTCCGCCTTGTCCTTCAGGAATATGTCAACGATCCCATCGTCACAGGATTTAGACGCAAACTTGACCCTGTCAAAGTGGATCCACAAATCCCTGTCTCTGTTCACCTTGATCTCCCAGATGCAACGGATGGATTTTGGAGGTTCCACGTACCCTATGGCTTCGTAGAAGGGATAGTGGATGTCCCCATCGGTGGTCGGTTGAATCAAGGATGGACCACACAAGGGACCATGCACAAATTCGTACGTGGCTTCGAAAAGGGCAGCGTTGTGCTTGAAATAGCTCAGGGCAGAATGGGCACTGTCCACGATGAGCTGCAGGTTGAGTTGCTCCCCTTTGGAGATGATTTGGGTAGGTCTGGTGTGGCGATTACAGATGCATGTCACTTCACCCATTTGGGCTGCTTTTGTTAGGGTTATGGCAGGGTGCGAACTGTTGACGCCAGCTGGCAGAGGTTCCCAAACGACCAGCTTATCGATGCGGTCTTCTAAACAGTTGGTACAAGGTCCAGGATTGTAGGGATGATCCTGTATTTATAAAATAAATGGTGTAAATGAAGAAGTTAAAAGGTAAATCGATGAAGTTTTCAGTGTTACGTATTTGTCTGTCCACCTAGGGTTGACGCAAACATTCTTATAACTCTGATAGTAAAATTAAAGGAAAAAGGGGATGACTTACTTTGAAATGTATGCGATTAATGGTAAGAATGACTCTTGCATAGAGCCGTTTGTCTGTGACAAATCGGTAAAGGCACTGCACGTCTTCGCTATTAGGCGGTTGCTTGTATACGAGGGTGTTGAGAGGTGATCGCAGCCATCCCTTTGTGGTCTTCCACGAAGCAAATACTTCGTCACAGGGCTTCCCAGGGACGGGCTCTCCCAGCTTTGTGTTGTTGAAGAAGTCGTAGTGGGCCCAGTAATAAAGCGAAGATCTGAAATAGTTTAGCTGTAAAGGAAAAAAAATAAATGGAAATGGCGATTATTATTTACCCGCTGTAACTTCCTGTTTTGCTTTCGAACCTAACAAAAAGGGCATTGCCGGATGACACGAAGTCGTGTTTTTCCATCGGCTTGGAAAATGTGTCGCAGAACGTTTTAATAATTTTGGCATCGTTTGGCCACGAAGCGTCGTATAAAGTAAGTGACTCGCCGCAGTCTCCGTCTATTGGTTTTATCGGCGATTCTATTCTATTTATTCGAAAACTGCAAAAGAAAAATAAAACCTCGTTCCATTTTGTATCAAATTTATCGATTACGTATTAATTACAATTACCTTGGAAAATACAGTCTCACAATTTCTCCTTCTTCCCCCTGCATGAGGTAAGTACAGCTCGTGTGGGGGGGATACCAATGCGCTACGGATAAAAAAATCCCCTCAGAATCTCCCGAAGCCCGAAGGCTCTCCGAGGACAATAACCAATCGCACGTCCCGTTTCTGCTTCCGGCAGTGTCGACATGTCCAGGCCAATTTCCAACATTAAAATGGAATCCGGTGTTCAACAGGGGCCCTTCAAAATTTAACAGGCATTACATGGAATTACAATAACATACTTTCGACAATACTGATTGATGATTTATTAATTTACCTACCTGCAGGCGATGAGACGAATTCTACGAATAAATCTTGCGAAGTTCCTATTATGGAATAAGGGAATTTTCCCATTCCGCAAAACGTCCCGATCACAGGGCTGAATTCGTTCTTGCCATCGTAAATTTTAATATAATCGTACGGACAATTTTCTTGGCCTGAAATATCAGAGACGAAGAATTATTACTTTTGGTATACATACCCTCTGTCCAATAAATATGAGAACTGAGCTTCTAAGTTTGGGTTAAAGTGATATATATGATACTGATTGCACTATGGGAGGAAGATCTCCTGAAGCGTTAGTGACTTCTAAATCGTAAAAATGCAGCTAGAGGATCGATTTTCCTTTTGTGGTACAATTTTTAATCTTTGAAGTGTATACAGATCAGGATGATCTTCAATCTTTTGTGTTGATAAAGTTGAACGTGTGCGGTAACTAATTTTTTGTGAAACTTGATGAAATTTTGAAGGCTGTTTATGGAGACAACGCATTCAAAAAAACAGCCCCTGTGAAGTAGATTATGACCAGGATGATCCTCAATCTTTTGTGTTGATAAAGTTTAACGTGTGTGGTAACTAATTTTTGGTGAAACTTGATGAAATATTGAGGGCTGTTTATGGAGACAACGCATTAAAGAAAACAGCCCCTTTGAAGTGGATTATGATCAGGATGATCCTCAATCTCTTGTGTTGATAAAGTTGAACGTGTGCGGTAACAAATTTTTGGTGAAACTTGATGAAATATTGAGGGCTATTTATGGAGACAACGCATTAATGAAAACAGTCCTTTCGAAGTAGATGGAGACCAGGATGATTCTCATCTTTTGTGTTGATAAAGTTGAATGTGTGCGGTCTCTTGTGATTTCCAGTCGCCGATTTCTTTTCCGCATGATTGTTGATTAACTAAATTTGGGACTTCTGAGTAGAATTAGGGATGCTCTGGGCAATGGAAAGGGAAACAGACAGGTCCATTGACAAAAACGGTGATATTTTAAAGCGAACCACAAAATGTAGCATTCTATAGATGGCGTTTATTACGTTTTTGCAGTAATTTGGGACAAGGTTGATACAAATTTTGAAAAATGAAGTTCTTATTATTGGATCTCAGTTAGCTATTTATTGGATAGATTACGTTTCTACATACATGAATTCAAACGTTTCACGCTTCAAAAGAACTCGATTGAATACTACAAATAAAAAAAGATAATTTTGGTGTTTCTGAAGTACACTGAACTCGATTTTGTTAACGGTACGTAACAGAATTTACTACGAGAGCCGCCCCTGTCGACAATGTACTTATTTTATTTATACTTTGCATTAGCGTTCGATGAGCATCCCCTTTGTTCCCTAGGGACAAATTCAACGCTTCGAAGCGATTACGTGTAATGTACTTTCTTTTCTCTTACCGTCCCCCCACATCCCTTTATTCATGGAAACCTTGCATAATTGATGGGCAACATTAAAATTACGAAAGTGGCTACAGAATTAAGTATAAGCAAAGTGGAGTTTTTCGGTGGAATTATTACTTTTATCCATTAAGTTGAAGCACGCAAAATAGTCTTTATTTATTATTCAGGGACAGTATTAGACTAAATGCCATCACCATTGTTTTCTTTTTTGTTCTTCGTTTTTTTCTACCACTTGTAGGAATTTGAGTAGTTAATGGATGAACTTATTTTTATTATGCATCAAAGGATAAAAAGAACAACGTTATCCATATTTGAAGGGAAACTTCTTTACGCACGGTAGAGTAAGTTCGTTTCATGAGAGTTCGTATGTAACGAAATCATGCAACGGATGTCCTCCTTCTACTCGGCCACGTAGTCGAGTTGGTAGTGGGGATCGCTTGAGCCGCGAGCGCGCTTCAATACAACGTTTGTTACAGGCAACTCCGGCATGTATAGGTAGTGTAAAATTTAAATTCATAGTGTACAAATAATACCATTAAACCAATTCCTTAACCCCTATCCCGGTATGTTTGTGTGTTTGAATAAGTTTCACTTCAGTAGCGTGTTGTACAATTACACGTTGTATTTTTTTTTTTTATTACAAAGGTTCTCATGATAATCTTCAGCTATCACCAAGCAAACTGAGTGAAAATTTAGAAAGAACACTGTTTTGATCACTAATACTACTCATTGAACTGGTATGTTTATTTTTTTTTTTAAGTAAACGAGCAGGGGGACAGACAAAGCTGAATTATATATGGTACTCCAAAATTATCCCTTCTCATTTGGGGATCAATGTGAAGTAAAGAAAAAAGCTGCGAAATTTTAGATAATTTAGATAAACTGAATTTAATTTGTTAATTCTTGTCATAGACGTCTTTACATTTTGACGTAGTTATGGATCGACTCATGGGTGTACATTAAGAGTGTAATTTTTATGGTGTTATTGTAAATGTTAATTACAACGACAGAGTAAATTAAGTCAAAGTTCGATCAAAAGTATTAAACGATGTTGGTTGCTGTAAGAATGTAGTAGGTATTAGAAATTCCATTGTTTCCGGTTGGCAAATAAAGTACACATGGAAGGGGAAGATAGGAAGGAAAAGATAGGTGGACAGTAGCAATTTCCACTATGTCACAATATTACAGTTAAGCTAACTTACCGGACGATATCGGCCTCATGGGACAAGTCATGATATTTTCGCATCGTTGCCCGTCAATATTGAACTCCTCGTTCTCAATGTAGAGCTTGATAAAGGGGAGACGGGTGTTCAGGTAATACCGACAATGCAGGTTCCTCGGGTAAACCCCGGGATAAGCCGGGCTTTGGACGTAGCACGTTTGAAGGCGACAGTCGCGGAATATCCTCTCGCAATACGACCTAGAATTACGGTGACAGTGTAATGAGTAAAGTCACAACATATAGACCTGGAAACTGGCATGAAATAATGTCTGACAAGCTAGCACATCCGCATCACAAAATCGAAAAACAATTCACCTGAGTATTTGGTGCATTTTTAGTGATATTTTAGTGCTGTAATTAAAATTTTAATGCTGCATTCCTTATACGAAAATTATTGACTAAGGGGGTACATCCACTTCAAAATTTCTTAGTATTTCTGCAAGCACTGCTACCAACCTGCGTAATTTTATCCCATATGGTGAAGAATTATAGTTCCTTCCCTCAAGCGTTTAGGTATCATACTCTTACCGAAAAATGTTTAGAATAAACCAATAAGTTTGAGAAGTATTGCTAGTATTGTAGGAAGATTTCTTGTCATTGCAAACAAAATTATTACAGTCATTGAAATTTTCTGGTTTTCACCAAATTGGTTTTCAGTAATAATGCAAGCGAGAACTTATTACATTCCAGGATGGGGCTATCTTCTTCCACTTTAGTACTTTTTGGCATAGGAATAGGACGAGAATTACAATGATTTTAACGATAGTTTTGTTTGGAGTGTTAAGAAATCTTACTGTACCGTTAATAGTTTTCAAACCTATTGACTTCTTTTAATCATTTTTCGGTGGCAGTTGGATTCTCAAAAGAAGAAAGCATAATTTTACATCTCAGATGCACTATAATTATGTAAGTTAATAATACCGAGTTCTTCCAGAAACACTTAAAAAGCCTTAAATTATAGGGTTCTTACTTTTAGAAATAAATTCGTTTACTAAAACACTATAGACGAATCGTGACGATACCGTGGATAGAGAAGATAGAATGGAAGTCAACAAGAAATAGGCGAGATAGGTTGGAAGGATACCTTTCCAGGCATGAAGATCTAGTTAGAGACATATTAGAGGCAGAAACAGGAGTTAGGAGGGGTAGAGGTAGACCCAGATTAGATTACTGTTAATAAATAGTTAAGGATGTGGGATGTTCTAGTGTCAGGAAATTGCGAAGATTAGCTCAGAATAGGAAAAAGGGGAGGTGTGTGTCCAATCAGTCTAGGGACTGACGACCTTATGATGATGACTAAGACATTTTGGCATCAGTGTGCTACCTACCAGAAAGTTAACTCAGAATTAATTTGAACGCTATGAAAGTAGGAGCAGACTCCATTGGAGTACTACTGCAATTTTCAATTTATAGACGCCGTTTGTTGAGAGTTAAATTGCTCAATTTTATCTACGTATAGTCGTTACAATTTTGTCTTGCCGTTTTCTAAAGTAATTGAGAGTTACTCTTATCATTTCATGTGAACCGTGTAGGAGTATGTTATCTAGTGTATGTAGACTAATATATTCTCTCCACCAGGAGCCGAATGCACTTGAGGAATATATAAAACGTAGCAATTTAATAATACCATTCTACATGTTTAAGAGGAATGTCTCGCAGAGAGGATGTCAGATAACCCTCGGTTATGTAGATACAAGGATATACTTGAAAATGTCTCCAGTTGAGGGGGAAAAACTCAAAAGACCAAGCCGTTATTGCCGCAGTCGATTGTTTTGCCTTTTTAATCAAAACCCGATGTACGGAATATAAACTTAAAAGATAATGGAGCCGAGGGGATGCAAAAACCGTCTACGCAAGATTATTTCGTTTTTCTTTCATTAAAATCACTGTCTACTGTCATCTTTCCACCCCATTTTTGAAAATAATTAAGCGACAGTTCGTTCACGCACCCTTATTAAGAAGACGAAGCGGTTAGAGCTACAGCATCTGCTGTATTTATTTAACGAAAGGAAAAAATTAAATTGAGGGGATAGGTAACGTGTGGTAAAGGAACAGTTTTTTATTTAAAAATTTACGGGGTACACGTTTAGCTTACTTTGTAGTGTAACGGATTGCCAAACGTAATGTTACAGGATCGATTCCCGCCCGTGACGAATAAAAAAAAACCGAAGACTTCAATCCCAATACTCTATAAAATAAATACTAATCAAAATACATCTTCAGTCGCTTTGTGCTATTAAGTGGGTTTAAAGTATATTAGACCTAAGATATGGTGGAGGAGAGTGAAAAGGGTTCAACTAGCTGACGCAAAAGCATAACCAATAACATTAAGATACAACCCTAGCTCCTATTATAATAGATGTAAAAAAGAAAAAAAATAAGTATCTAACAAATTCTAAAAGTATAAGTAAAACAGGAGTAATTTCTCAACAAATATTAATTCGTACCTACTGTTGTGAATTTAGTGAACGGACTTGGTAACATACCCTTGAACAACTTCTCCCCTTCTGTTGGGATAAAGTTCAGGATGTTGTCCGTACCGCAGGTAGACAACAAGCTGCTGTTCGGCCTTCGTGTCGAAACTGAAGTAAGTTTGGTCGGTAAAATTGTCCACGTGAAACACGATTTTGACAAAGGACGTTTCAGACATAAAAGTCTGCGGCTGTTCCGTCTCACCGCAGAACATGCCGGGCTCTTTGCGATTGGAAACGTCCGTCTTCGCATTTCCATCTACTATCTGAAAACAAAGAGAATTCGATAAGCCAAAGAGTTTTATTTTCAGTTTCTTAATGAAACCATTTATCAATAACTGTTGCGACTCAAAAATTAAAGGATGGATGAGGTGTTGCGTATTTAACAAAAAATATGGCGTCGCTTGTAATATAAAACAAAAAAAAGGAAACTTACATCTAAAGCTATGAGAGACGTGTGTGGGAACAGTTAAAAGAAAGACATTAAAATTTGGTGTTTCCCACAATGCAAAGAAGAATATTGTGAATGACGAAATAGTTTGTTAATTACTTAAAGAAGTTTATATTATGTTTTAGAAAATACTACAAATGGCGCAGTAAACTCCATCTGTAGCACGATGCTACATTTTAGGATTACGTATGCTCCAACAAGGTTCACTTGTGTTTCGACAGAATACAGACCACTTCGAATTATTTTATTCGATTAAGCTAACGTGCCTATCACGTTGAGGTTGGCTACGCCGGGATTCCTTTTCAGCAGGTAGATATCCATACAAGTGGACCTTGTTGGAGCATACGTAATCCTAAAATGTAGCATCGTGCTACAGATGGCGTTTACTGCGTCATTTGTAGTATTTTCTAAAGCGTACTGTTAAGACAGCAGGTAAAAGTTGGTGTGTGTTCTGTCGGAGCTGTCTGCGACGCGCTGATGAGATCCAAAAAGATCGAAATCGCGATCGGCGTCTGGCAGTTTCGACAGAATACAGACCAATTCGAATTATTTTATTTTATATTATGTGTTGAACATAGCATTCGGTAACGCAAAAAAAGCGATAATAAGGACAGCTATTGTCTTTCCTGGTTCATGCGCTATCGTGATCCTACTCCAATATTTTATTGGAAACAGTTCCTTGTTTGTTGACATCACGTCTTTGGTTGACAGTAATTCGAGGTACAGATCTCCAAGTGCAACTTCTTGCATCTTGGTGGTTAAGGAGAGAGAGAGGCTGTCGCATTCGCAAACATGTAACCGGAATTACGTATTTGAACGTCTTGACACGTGTGTAGCCGTTGACATAGATTGCAAGTTCTACAAATATTTCGAGTTATTTACTTTTGGACGTTGATGTAGGCCAAACGGAAACGCTTCGCCCCAGTACATTCTCAAGGATCTGTCAATACCTATACATATAAGAAAAGCGAGATTGATGTCTTGAATTGAAACCAGTGAATTACATGACGCCTGAGTTTGACTCAAACCGATTTAAATTCTTTTTATTGTGAACGAAAATGATTCTTATAGAAAGAGAAAATTACAAGAGATAGTCAATGAGCTAATCTTCGCTTTCCCTAAAGCTAGAACATGACATATCTTTAACTATTTGTGAACAGTAATCTAATCTAGGTTCACCTCTCCTCCTCCTAACTCGTGTTTCTATTTCTAATATGTCTCTGACTAGCTCTTCATGCTTCAGAAGATGTCCTACCAATCTATCTCGCCTATTTTTGATTGATCTATTTTCATATTCATCCTAATACCTTCTCGTTTCTAACCTTCTCTATCCACAGTATCTAAATAATTCGCCTGTGACACCACATTTCGAACGCTTCTAACCTTTTTCTTTTCCGCCGCGCCCACCGTCCATGTTTTCTAACTTTCTACTTTATATCCCTACTACTCCTTCCGTCCTGACTTATCTGACTTCCTAATTTTTCGTCTCCTATCTTTATATACATTCTTTCCCTACGTTTTCTTCCCTTGCATATCAGTCGGTTTTCCTCAGTTCCTCCTTCCTAGATCTTAATACTGAGATCCTATATCACCTGCAAATGTAAGCATATTAATCTTTTGCCATAACGTTGTACTGTCTTTAATGATGTTTATAGCGTCTTCGACGTATAAATTAAAAAGTAGCGGCGACAGTGTGCATCCTTGCCTGACTCCCTTCCTATTATTTCAATTTTTATAATGGATAATAAAACTCCACTATTAATATTAGATAAAGCTTTTAGAGATTAAAACCCAGGAATAGTGGGACGATTGGGAGCACCCACTGTAAAGTTTTTTTACGTTTATCTCAGTGCCAATGAATTTGGAAAAACCTTCTGCCTTAAATTCGAATTAGAACAATTTTTCGTCGGTAAAAGCGATTGTGGGGTCTATCGCAATTTCATAGACGTCAATCGTCGTAAAATCCAAACCTCGTTGGACATTTATCACATGTCAAATCCTGCCAGCAATCCATAAAAATACTTTAACTCCTGACTGTAAATAGATTTCGTCTCGTTTCCGAACAATGTGCCCTTCGCTCGGAGAGAAACGGGGAGAAGTGCCTGTTTACCTCGTCAAGCTGTGTGTGTGGATTGGCCTGAAAGCCAGGCTTCGATGAAATATTTCTGATCGTCGTGACCGGACTGAAAAGCAGTTTTCACTCCCCGACTTCCTTCGTTCCTTCATTCGTCCCACCACGTTTGGCTGGGCTGACGGTTTGGGAGCTGCTTTGCGGCAACACGATTTTACATTATTGAAATATGTCTGCCGACCAAAAGAACTTTGAAACTTTAATAAGGACTCTGGAAGATGCTTCGAGTTTTTATTAAAACGCCAGCTACTGAATAAAAGATACAAGGATTGATTTAAGACGACGCCGGCATACACCATAATTCCATTTCGTCGATGGTTTATCTTCTTTCTATTTAAATCACAAACACCTGCGTACGTAAAGCCAGCAAGAATATATCAGAAGTAAAAGAACTTCCAACTACTTACTGCTTAAAACCATTTTTAGAACTCGAATCACAAGAAAGTACAAAATAAATTATTATTACTTTCTTTATTGAACCAGGACGAAACAGTAAAAAGAAAACATCATCAAAATACTTTTATCATTTGTACATTTCTGACGCAATTGAATCGAAAATTGTAAATAAGTTTTCAAAAACAGTTACACACTCTGTCTACTATGGAGAAGACAACCCTTTCATGTGGATAAAGCCTCTCAGTAAGGGAGGGGTGATGCATGGCCAAAACAACTCTCGATCTCTTCTGTTAATGAAAACGCTGAACATGTGCGACATCTTATGTTTTTTGATGACCGATTCATTGTCAGGGTGATTGCTGGATTATACGAAACATTGAAATCAATAAAGCTGCAGAAGGCTCGTGTGCTGCATCAACCAGAAGAATTCAGCCCGAATTTCTAGTCTTTTTAAAAACGTAATCACTAATAGCAGAGCCTGATTCAATGAATCACATTGAGCTTTAAATACAGAGTAAATAATGGACATCAAAAGACGAACCACGAGATAAACAACGACAAAATGGTCGATCTAAAATCAAAGGTATGACGTTCGTTTTTGTTTTTGGCATTGAAATATAGTTGGTCTTCATGAATTTCTTCCCGAAGGACAAACAGTAAATACTAGATTGTGCGACCAAATTTGTGCGTCTAACAATTCAGAAGAGACTGTCTAGAGAGTTTCTGATCACCACCACCACGGATCACCTTCCCTACTCGCCAGATTTGCCATTCCTATTTATTATCTACATGCAAAATGATAGTACTGGATGCGGCAGCGGATGATGTGAAGGCGACAAAAGGAGAAACGTCGTATCACAGATACCTCCAGTGATGCACTAAATATGTTTAGTAACAGTGGGTCCAAAATACAAGCATACCTGCCAACATGAATAAATAATAGTTTGCATGGCAATGACGTCTAAGAGCTATTTCATGTCTAACGTGAATTGTTTAAGTTCTGACAAGTATTCAGATCAGCTAATTCGATATTGATTATGCAACCTCTCCTTCCATTGTACCTACCTACCTGTCTCTCTGTGTGTGGTAACGACGTAGGACAAGTTGCCAGACTTGAGGATAATAACCGAACTCCCACGTCGTTCAATCAGTATAAGCGTGACGGTAAGTAGACATGTAATATTAATTAATGAGCAAGTGGATTAGTTTAATGCCTTAATGAATTATTAATTAATTAATTGTCGAAATGGTAATTGCAAAAACTGTAACTGTTAGACTTTTATTGTACTTCTAGTTCAAAAAATGCAGGAATTCTGGCAATTGCTTGGCATTTATGGCATTAAGTTTATTTAACAATTTTTAATAGATACATGAAGAATTGACCTCCTCGTGAGGTATGTACAATAGATACATGGAGAATTGACCTCCCCATGAGGTATGTACTTCACTTAAAAGCGTCCTCCTTTTTATCCTTTCAACGTTTCTTAAGTTCTGTCCAATTTTTCTTATTACAAAACGGAGTAACAGACAAAGTTCTCTATTTTTCTGTAGTGACACGAATCCTTAATTGAATTGCTTGCCGAGGAGACGATGTCCTTCGTTAAATCTCCGCGAGAAAGGAGAGAAATGAAGAAGTTTGAATCTACAGACTGCTACTGAAACCAGCGGTGTCAGAGCTGCATAATATTGAAAGTTTTTCTTACGCGGAGAAAGTTAATTTTGAAGTGTTTTAATATCCACCCTGGACCCGAAAGTTTTAAACGCCACTGTCACGTTGCACACTCTTCGGGATTACTGATCTGCATGAAAATTTTGCAACGGAAACTTTGCAAGCGCGAAAAAGTCTATTTTAAAATTACAATAATGTTCCTTGAATACCGCATAATCCGTCTTTGAACGTGTACAAAGTTTAACGATCGTGTTTTCCTTCACGTCGCCTTGTGTTTTTTCCTTTTTGGATAAATTAAATGTAAACAGTAAAATCTCCAAAAATCCTGTTTCTCTCTCCTCTAGATAAATTTTATTTCGTGTGTAAACGATACAACGAAAACAACAAAAGATGAAGGAAGATAATCTTTTGGCCTAACTGTAAGCAAAAAGGAAACAGTGGGTACACCAATTATTATGAACCCCTCAGGCCAAAAAGCATTTTATGGATTCTCTTTCATTGGCAAGGAAGCAATCTGATATCTGGAGAAACAGGATATTAATTAAGCTTGAAATTACGTTTTAATTTAATTATTGTACTCTTGATGTCTATCTCATTAGATTATGAAAACAGGGTCATG